TGCACTCAGTTGGTAATGGTGGATGTGATGGCTCCCCAAAGGGGAATCTTTTAAGATTCTTCCTCACTCCTTTCCATTTGGGCATTTAAAAAGCTCTCTTGATCAGCAATACTAACCAAACACAATATTTACTTGGGGAACTGTCTCAAGACTGCACTGACTGTTCCTGATTCCTATTTTATAGGATTACATATTTTGGTCTTTCAAGTCAGAAATAAGACAACATGCCACCCACAGGACATTTTTGCAGTCCTCAAGGCCAAAAATGAAGGATTAAAAAGCATTATTTCCATCCCTGGAGACTTAGGGTTCCTTAAGCTGCTTCCAAAACAATATTAAAAAAAATGAAACTGGAAGTGCCCATCTTCCTACTTTAATCAACAGAAGTTCCACTGATTCAGTAGCCCTGATGTAGCTGCAACCTACCATACTAAGCAGCAGGATTTCAGCCACTTAACCCACTGGTTCTTAACCTTGGGTTACGCAGGAGTTTTGGACTGCAACTCCCAGAAGCCTTCACCACCAGCTGTCCTGACTGGGGTTTTTGGGAGTTGCAGTTCAAAAGCATCCAAGTAACAAAGGTTAAGAACCACTGACTTAACCTACTGTAGCTGCAACCTACCATACTAAGCAGCACGATTTCAGTCATTTAACCTACTTATACTGCAGATATATTGCAGAAAGAATAGGAGGTATGGGATGAAACAAAGGTTAAGAACCACTGACTTAACCTACTTGTACTGAAGATATATTGCAAAAAGAATAGGAGGTGTGGGATGAACTTCATAAAGTATAAAGAGTTAAAGGCAGACACTGGACAGCCATACCAATAGCAAAAGCAAGTGACAGTACAACACTGTTATATAAGGCAAGAGAAAACAGAGGGTAGGGGAAAATGTAACTGGTTTCTCAAAGAAAAATTGATGCAAAGGGGCAAGGCAAAATACAAAAATAAGTTGTTGGCTTATTACTTCAGCAATATATCAAATGGACAACAACCACGGAGGATGTTATATGTCCACACACTAGAAAGACTAGGCTAGTGGGGCTTTTTCAGTAGGAGCCTCTTGATCATGGAATTCTCTCTAAGGGGAATACGATTGGTTCTATCCTTCCTTTTCTTTAGACAGTAGTAACAACTGCTCTGTTCCATCACACTTTTAATGTTGCATGTTAAATCACTGTTCACATCTAAAGGCATGTTGAAAATGTAGTAATTTTTAAACTGTGTGTTACTTAGCTATATGTCAAATTTTAATTTGTTTATTGTAAATCAACTGGTTGGCAAAGAATTTTACATAAAATTAATAAATGCAATCTGTATAACTCAATAAATGGATACATTTACTGACAATATGAAACCAAAGAAACCTCCTAAACACTACTGCTTAAAAAACGAGAGAGAGAAAACTGATGAACCGACCACTCCAACTGTAACTCAATGAGTAGATTCTCTTTGCAAATAGTTGATGCATCAGTTCCACCCTGGTCTCAAGCTGAAGAATGGAAAGACACAAACTCCCTTTCACTCAAACACTGCCTTCTAGAAATCTGTTTGTTCCTAAAAAATTGGAATGGTGCTCCAATTACTGGCTGAAATTCTCTTCTATAGCTACACAAAAGCACTGCCATATGTTAAGAAATCTGTGTAGACATTATCTGCTGCTGGATCATCACCAAATGTTTAGTAAAAGTAAATAAATGTTTGTCTGCTTATGTGTGATATATGGCCATTTAAGGAGGCACCCTACCTGTTCTTACCAGATCCACTGAACTTGAGTGGTTGCACCTATCTCTCTCCTTGCTACCCTACTTATTTCTTTGAAATTCCAGGATAGCAGTTGTACAGAACACAATTTCTATTAAAAAAATTGAAAGCTCTGGAAATTAGATCAGTTTTCTGAGGTAGGAGAAAAGCAGTTGCAATAAATTAAAAATATTACATTACATAGGCACCAAACCAACAGAATGCTGGAGGGAGGGGAGCAGCAAAGTATGAGTATCTTGTTGATAAGGCCTATGTTGAAATTTAAGGTAAAGGGTCTTCATCTCATGGTTTTCTCACTGAAATAAACTAGACAGTTCTCACTAAAACAAGAGAGTAAGCATGTTGTTACATAATATACTAGTGAAAGTTTTGAATGGAAATGCCCAGGGGGTTGAAAAAAGAACATGCTTTGTCTGTAAGGTTGTCCAATATTCTTTTGTCTCTGAACAGAACATGACATTGCTCAGGGTCACTTCCTTTCGCTTACAGTTCAGTTTTTATTCATCCAGCTTTTGTCAGCTTCCCAGAGAAATATAAACTATTTTTGCAATACGGAGTCAAAACAGAATTATTTTCAGCTGAAGCCACAATGCTATCAAACTTTCAGAACTTTCCTCTTCCTTTTAAGATGTAAGAATTTTCATTTAAGATTATAGGTATAGTGTGCTAGCAAAAGTTCAGCTGATAACAATTTCTAATATGAAAAGGTTATCTTAAAATGTATTCATTAAGGAAGAAAAAGTTAAAAGACTCCAAGTCTTTGTGATTTTATAACAGCCAGCACATAAAACACGGGAATTTCAGGAGGAGAATGATTCAGACATCACATGTGAAGTTAAAATGACAGCAAATGCAGCTGAGACCGATGTAACCAAAGACTTCCTATATTTTCAGACTGTGCTCTTATTTATTCAGTGATTTAGTTTCAGCCAAACCATCCCACCTTTAATTAACAGGAAAAAAATGGAATCAAACACTTCATAACGCAAGATGTTTTAGATAAGAGTTTAGTGCAGCAATGTGGTACAAAACTCTCCATGTAAAACAAGCAGACACCGCCAACAAATTAGTGAGACTAACTACTTAATCCTATCCAGATTACACATACTTAAATGATGGCACCTTATTGGTACTGTTTGTTGGACAGAAACACACTACCAGAAGTTAGCAGGAGTGAGTTTCTGTCCACACAGAGAACATGCTATGTGCAGCACCCCATGTCCTACAGAAAAGGTCTTAGAGGCCACTTCAAAGAAAAGTTTAAACTAAGAAATATCAGGGATGAGGATGCTTCCCTTTTACTACTCTGGGAAAAATTACTTATGTTTCATATGCAGAAAAGGAAGCAGCAGCTTCACAAATACAAGAACACTTGCGTTACTCAAGATTGGGAACCACAAATTACTTATGTTTCATATGCAGAAAAGGGAGCAGCAGCTTCACAAATACAAGAACACCTGTGTTACTCAAGATTGGGAACCATTGCTCTGCTGATAAAAGGCATTAACTGCAATAATTACATCATGTAAAACTCCAGAACATCCTTAAAGAAACAGAGAAAGGCATATTGTATAATAAACGTGGGGCTGCCTTTGAGGCTGATGCGGAAACTTCAGATGGTCCAGAATGCGGCAGCCAGGCTTCTTAGTGGGGTGAGAAAACACCAACATATCTCCCCCACTTTGGCTGCTTTGCACTGGTTGCCCATCTGTTTCTGCGTTGACTTCAAAGTGTTAATGATCACGTATAAAGCCCTAAATGGTTTGGGACCTCAATATTTGGCAGATCGTCTTCTCCCACCCAGATCTACCCGAATCACCCGATATAGACAGCAGGGATGGCTGAGGGGTCTGACGCCGAGGGAGGCCCGGAAGGAAAAAACAAGAAACCGGGCCTTCTCGGCGGCGGCCCCTCCGCTGTGGAACACCCTACCAACAGAAATTCGGCTGGCACCCTCGCTGGGTGTTTTTAAAAGCCAGCTAAAAACTTGGCTATTCAAGCAGGCCTTCCCTCCAGCCAATTAAGTCTTTCTTATTTTAATCCCCTTTTATGCCATGCCATCTTGGTAATCTTCGAATCATTTGTTCAATTATAATTCTAATTTTATAATTTTTATATTTTATATATTATATTGTTCTGTTTTATCTATGTAAGCCGCCCCAAGTAGACATGGTCTAGAGGGGCGGGGTAAAAATTCAATAAATAAATAAATAAATAAACAAACAAACAAACAAACAAATTAGGCAGGCTGAAGAAATGTGCTCGAAGCACAGGCAAATGCTGGTTCTTTGTTAATACGTACTTAAATAAAGAATGTTCAGCAAAATGCAGGGATGAGAAGCATCTTGTGCCTTAGATAATGCTAAAGAGATACTTCTATATATGTTCTCCCATTTCCACTGTGACAATATACCTAATTCTGAATACCATCTGCCCATCTGTCTGTACAAAATATCGGATTTGAGCATAGGACTGCACATAAACATATGACTGATTCTATAAATACAATACCTGTTCAACAGATATTGCAATCCACAGCCACAAGGGCATATACTTTACTCCCACCTTCTGAAAAGGAAGACAGATATTTGTTCAATCAAAAATATACCAACCCCTTCATCCTTCCTGTACAAACTAATACCACTAGGAAGCCTTATTTCTAAACAACGACATAGTTTTGCAAAGCATACTGTTCTGTAGAATCAGCAGATCAACAAAGGCTTGCTTTACAAACCTTCTGAAGTGCTGTATTTTGAAGTCAATAATTTTTGCCATTATGCTAAGTTTCTCCATATGGTTAATAGTATGAAACATAGACACAGAGAGAGAGAGACAGTTGAAACTGAAATAGAGGACAACACATTCACATTCTCCATATGGTTAATAGTATGAAACATACACACACAGAGAGAGAGACAGCTGAAAGTGAAATAGAAGACAACACATTCACATAATGTCAACTTTCAGATTAGCAAATAAATAATTCTGGGGGGGGGAAGCAGTACAACTCAAGCAGAAAAATGTTGTGGTGTTTGTTTCAAAACACAATTTTTTCAAGCCAAACGTTCTACTGCATCTTCAGCTATCAAACAGAACCGTCTTTCATGGAAAGATTAAAAACAAGCAAGTGCACTTTCTCACTGGTAGTCCATTAGGAAAGTTTAAGATGGCAAAGTTAAAGATAAGTTTAAATGTTCTGAAAAAGAAAAGAAAACTGAGATGGAACACTTACGATCGAGTCCGTTGATGTATCTCATTGTAATTTCACAGTGCCCCCAGACTGCACTGACTATAGGATAGAGTTTTTTCCCTTTAAGCCCCCTGAAGGCCACTCCAAGGTACTGTCCATCCACAATGAAGCTAAGCGTCCCTTCATCCATATCTAAAACTACCAGTAAGGAGTCAGGAAGTACAAAAGACTCGTCTGGTTCTAAAAACACAGGATAGGTCACCCCGGGCTGGTTTTTACAGTTGTGGTAAAGTTTGTTACGTCCAAGGTCCCAGCCCCATGACTCACTATTGCTACCAACCAATGAGGTATATCCTACAGAATGCAAAGGAGCTTCTGCTGTTGACACTCCGACCACGGCATGAGTTCCTCGCTGCCTCGTGGGCCAGTGAATTTGCCAAACGTGCAGGCCCCTGGTGTAGCCCACTTTCCCCCGTATGCAGTCTGTGCTTTGAGCCACCGGATGTCTATGAAAAGTGAGTCTGTCATCTTCTTTCACAAATATATTTAAGGACCGATCTTCATTGTTCCAAGCATGTTTATATTGGATCTCCAAACGGGCCGGGGGCATATCCAACAACATATCCAGCCGTGCCGGCTTGCAGAAATCGGGCCCCCTCAGTTCTCGTTTGACGGGTCGATAAGGGGGCTCTCGAACATCAACAGACTTTATGCTCCCTGAGATTTTTTGACCCATTGTTCAGCTGCAGATTCCTTGGCTGCAGGGAATGAAGGGTGGGTGGATCCAGGCCCAGTGTTAACTCATGGAAGCATTTCAAGCTCAGCCAATGCTTCTGTGGGTATCAAATGGACTTCTCCTTTCTGGATCCTATCAGAACCAATGTTTTCTGGAGACACACTCCTGAAATGGAACAAAGAGTCAAAAATTAGTAAGTAGCCAACTTATAACTCACATGGGTTAGTTAAGAAAAGGAAAGGAGAAGAACTTCTCTTACGATTGGTGCCAAATTACAGTACTTTAAAATAAAGAACTGAGCATTCTTAGTATCATAGCTTTTGTACTACAGTGCTCACTAGCCAGACAGTCAGCTGGATACACTGAGCCTGCAGTGCTCAGAGTACAGACAGCAATTTCCTTCTTTTCATAACAGACACAGACATTCCACACCTTTTGCCCTTCCACCCATACAGTCTAGTCAAAGCTGTCATGCTATTCAAAGTGCTTTTCCTCCATTATCAGGTATGCTTATGACTGCATTCATTTTCATTTACAATTATTTATATTGCCTCAAAGAAATTATCTGGACATGTTTTTACTTTTGTAAGAATGCTTTAGAATTTTTCTTGCTAAATCTGCCTTTCTAATGCAGAAACACAGACTATCCCAGTGATAACAAACAGCTGTGAAAGCCAATACATCTCCCGCTTCTTAAAACACCATGCCCTTGAAAGAAAGAAATAGGGTGAAAACCATGAAGAGTTTTAAGAAAACTCTTGTTCTTGGAGAGACTTTCAGTCCAAAAAATAACTCTTTGAAGATCCAATACAAACTGATGTCTTAATGGTATTGTTAGCATGCTGACCAACTTCGATTGGATAGGATAATGCTGGCAAAATTATCTGCTTAAATAGCATGCCATGGCAAAGATCCCACGGTTTGGCGCCTCCAACATTTTCATTAATGGCTCATATAATAGCCATGTTACTGGATAAGAAGCAGTCTTTATGAGCAGCAAGAGGGTTTCGATGGCAACTTACAATTCAAACTTGAAAACATTTTAAGTTCAAGATGGATAGCAGAATTAAGACCAGGAGACTATTTTGCAAACAGAGTGTAATGTTGATACACTGAAAATACTGAAAAGTAAACTGAAACCGAACAATCCATTTAAAACTGAACAAAGAAGGAACTAGACTTATGGAGACAGTTCTGTAGAGGAGGTATTGCCATCAAGACTTGTTCCACCAATCTATCCCACCTATTTACAAAGCAAATCTCTGTTAATGGCAGACCACACAAAAAGGCATTCAAAGAAAGACATGTTTAAACTACAGGAAAGCTCATACTAAAAGAGATAGTATTTTAGATATTCTGGCCACAAAGAATTTGGGGCTTTATTCATAAGCACCCTTAAAGTAGATATCGACACAAAGAGAAGTATAATGTGGCTGGCACGTGCTTGTAAGTAACCTGGCTGCTGCATTTTGCTAGCTGCAGTTTCCAAATATTTGTCAACAGCAGTCCCTATAGCCATATTTCAGTAAATTACACAGGAGATTATAAAAGTGTGGATGACTGGCCAGATTTACTTTCTTCAGAAAGGGCTTTGTTTGGCACAGCCAGCAAGGGCGGAAGGGAAATTATGGACACAAAAAGTACCCAACACTTCAAGAGCTATGTAGGGCCCAGAAGCACCCCCAAGCTGTAATACTTAATCTTTCAGAGGGAACTGTCACCTTATTCTGAACAGCCTATAGTCCTAGATTTGCTTTTCTACTGATAGCTGTGCCTGTGCCATGCCCCAACTGAGTCTCAGCTTGTTAACAGGTATCTAGTCCATCTGTGTATCCAGCCAAACAACCCTGGATTTATGGAGAGATCCAGAAGAGAGGTGTGGCCATCAAGAATCTCTTGCAGCAGATGGCAAAGCAATGTATTACTATATTCTTAAATAAACCTTAGCTTTCTGCAACTCAGAGAGTTCAAGACAGTAAGGAAGGAACAACAACACAAAGGGGCCCATAACAAGTGACCCACACTTAGTGTAAAGTGAAACAGGAAAGGTAACGTAGTTGCTAACTATACCTTTAAAAGATACAGTGGTGCCTCACTTGATGATGTTAATTCATTCCAGCGAAATCATTGTAGAGCGAAAACATCATCAAACAAAATAAAAAAGTCCATTGAAACTCCATGCCTGTGCAGTGAGGAATCCCTAAGCACAGTGGGGGCCATTTTCTTCAGCCGGCGGGCATTTTGAAACCTGACGATCAGCTGTTTTTGATTGTCGTAAAGCGAAAATCGGTTCCTGAAACAGGGAACCGATCATCTCTAAGCGAAATTCCCCCATTTAGACCATCGTTTTGTGATTGCAATTGCGATCACAAAAACCTCATCGTAAAGCAATTTCCTTGTTAAGCGTGGCAATCGTTAAATGGGGCACGACTGTATCTTGTTTGGTCTACCCAAGGGGATATCATAAACATGGCTGTGAGGTCCAGCTTTAAAACTCTGGGTGACCTCTTGCTTGATATTTATTTATATCTGCTGCAGGGAATGCTACATACTGTGGACTACAGACTTGTGTGCTCGGCAAGAATTTCACATACATTTATTTATTTAAAATATTTTTACCCCACCTTTCTCCTTAAAAACACCCAAGGAGGCTAAAACCATTAAAAAGACAATATTTAGAAGCTAAAAACAGTAGGTATACAAAAATTTTTAAAGGATTAAGCAAATATTAAAAATGGTAAATAAAAATACTAAATTTGCATTTAAAAGCAGCAAGGCAAAATTTAAAACAAACTGCAATAAAGCAGGATAGGTCTAGAGGAGGGTGACAAAGGGTATAGAAATCAAGCTCTATGAGGAAAGAATCCGGTATGTTTACCTTGCTGAAAAGAAGAGTGAGAAATCATATGAAAGACTACTTCAAATTTTTAAATGACTGTCACAAAAAAGATGGAGCAAACCTGTTTGCCTTGGGGCCCTCTGAACTCAATAGTTCCAAGACTCTGTGAATGCTACTTCATAATTCAGATACGTTTTCTGATATTTCAGAAGACATTTATTTGTTTACATTGCAACAGTGAGAATAAGGATATTTAAAACTCTAAATGCCAAAACCTAAATCCTCAAAAGTCAGCTCTGCCAGGATGTGGAACAATTTTATATAACTGATGGCAAAATCCCAGTTCCTGAAAAACTACTGCCAAATTGTAAGACTGGCTTACAAAATGAATCAGAGATACTTATTAGACTTTTATTACACTCTTAAATAAACAGTAAGCATCACTCACATATTAAAATTTTACATTTCTGAAGTGGTAGACTACTTTCCTTCCAATTCCTGTCAGATCATTTCTTTCTATCTGCCACATGTTGTCTGTGCACCAAATCTTTTAAAGGTTTATCTGTAACACCTTGTCTTGGAAAAAAAATTGGACTCCTACATCTCCTAATCAGACAGCTATGGGATTCTGGGAATTATAATCTGAAAAAGTAAAAATACCAAGGTCTGCGTAGGACAACAACTTCAACAAGCTTCCTTATTTATTTTCTAGCCCTTTTATTATAAGAACAATCAAATAAATAAATAAATAAATAAAGACAGTAGGAACAAAATAAGCTTTTTGACAGGCTACGTACCATGGGCATAGCTTGCTGGCTGGCTAATCAGATGAAGCAAATGTCTGTAGAGCCACAGCTAAGAGGCTGATTCCTTTGTAGCTTTGACCAAGCTACATCATCCCCAGAAGGGAATGGTACACCACTTTTAAGTACTCTATACTTAGGATGCCCTAGAAAAGATTGGTATAAGTCACAACTAACTTGAAAGCATGTAACTGTTATTAACAAGGATGTGGGAGGCAGAGAGTCATATCAGCCATTAACCAGTTATTTTCAATAATGAGGAGCTCCTGTCAGATCATTTCTTTCTATCTGCCACATGTTGTCTGTGCACCAAATCTTTTAAAGGTTTATCTGTAACACCTTGTCTTGGAAAAAAAATTGGACTCCTACATCTCCTAATCAGACAGCTATGGGATTCTGGGAATTATAATCTGAAAAAGTAAAAATACCAAGGTCTGCGTAGGACAACAACTTCAACAAGCTTCCTTATTTATTTTCTAGCCCTTTTATTATAAGAACAATCCCACAATTAAACAACAACAACAACAACAACAACAACAACAAACCTTGCAGAAGCAGACCATTCATGTCATCTATATCTTCTAGGACATTACCCACTAGCACATCAGACTCCAGGTCCTTTCATACATACCATGCTGTCAAGGGACCCAAGACTCTTGCGTATTAGTATGTATTTAGAAAGGGAGATGGAAGTATATGAGCCTTCTTCTTGTGTGCATAATTCTGCACACAAACACACTTAGATCTACCCGAGTCACTCGTTTTAGCCAGGAAAGACAGCTGAGGGCCTAACGCCGAGAGAGGCCCGGAAAGAACGAACAAGAAACCGGGCAGTGGCCCCTCGACTATGGAACACCTTGCCACCGGAAATCACCCTGGCACCCTCGCTGGATATTTTTAAGAGTCATTTAAAAACCTGGCTCTTCAGGCAGGCTTTCTCTCCAGTCAACACCTGATTTTCTTTTTTTCTTTAGTTTTTTTTTCCATCTTGATCTTCTAATTTGTTGATGTAATTATGTCATTGATGTACATATATTGATGGTTTTTATTTGATTGTATTTTATAATGTTTTATTCTTCTTTGTAAGCTGCCCCGAGTAGACTCTGTCTAGAGGGGCGGAGTATAAATCAAATAATAAAATAAAATAAAATAATAAATAAATAAATAAATAAATAAAGACAGTAGGAACAAAATAAGCTTTTTGACAGGCTACGTACCATGGGCATAGCTTGCTGGCTGGCTAATCAGATGAAGCAAATGTCTGTAGAGCCACAGCTAAGAGGCTGATTCCTTTGTAGCTTTGACCAAGCTACATCATCCCCAGAAGGGAATGGTACACCACTTTTAAGTACTCTATACTTAGGATGTCCTAGAAAGGAATGGTATAAGTCACAACTGACTTGAAAGCATGTAACTGTTATTAACAAGGATGTGGGAGGCAGAGAGTCATATCAGCCATTAACCAGTTATTTTCAATAATGAGGAGCCATTCCTAATATTAAAGAAAGCCAAAGATGCTACCT